AAATCAAATTGCTGTGTTGTACACGTTTAGATTCACAGTTTGTATATCTTTTCAGCAGAGTACAGTGAAGAACATTCTTTTGGGAGTCTGTATCAAATAGAAGATCTTTCTCTTTGTTTCTTTTGTTGTTAAAAGTATTTGAAATGTATTTACAGAAGAAGAATAGGGAAGAACAGGAATAAAAACTATGTATTCGAATGAAAGAAAAATGAATTCATTATTAATTTTATTCATTCATCATATTGATCATAAATAGAACGAAAAATGAAAGAACTACTCCTTCAGTATCACCAATTCTATATTATCTCACTTCATGTTTTCTATTATCAGCGACATAGAGAGATCCCTTCTCGTCCATTGTCAAACAGGTGCAAGAGATGAGTGTTTCTCCATTAGTACCATTTCGACGAGGCCATCGAACTACTCTTTTATTCGAATAATCGCAGATGATGAGGCTATCTCTTTCTTTGTCGATAACCACATTATGTGGGTTGTATTGTTTGATCATCATCGACATGCAAACCTAAAAAGGGTTTAAAAGTTTGTTCACTATCTATATACCTTTTTAAGGTTTCACACAAACTACGAAATCTTTTAAGGTTTCGTACAGCATCCTAAATCTGTTATTGGAAAAAATTTGAGTAAAAGCACAAAAAAAAGTGTTTTCTCAGTGTTCCCAAGGTTTTGCCAGTCACGGATTTAGCTGAGTAATACGGTATATAGTTTGTATGAAACCTTAAAAAGGTATGTAGATGGTGACAAAAGTTTAAACCTTTTTTAGGTTCGGTAGAGTACCTTTTTTTACCTTTTTTTATTATATTATTACTTGTACCAACTGTAATGGATGCTGAACATTTATTTGTTGTACACTTGAACAGAATACTTGAATCTTTATTAACGTGTATTTTTCTAAACATATAGTTGTTCTAAACTGCACAAATTTTCCGTTACTGCGTTGAGAGATGATAACTTTTGGAGAGGTTATTGTGGTAATATTGACGTGATAGGACTGAGACGTTGTCCTTCAACGTAATCGGAAGCTCCGTTTTCATACTGTTGTTCGGTTCAGACATGTAGCTTTCGGATCAATTTGCCAAATAGATGCGTAATTATACACAGTGTATAAAAGTCACATATATTGTTTTAATTGTTCTATTATTCTAATCAAAATTTATTATCTCTTTTGAATTCGCTATTTTGTGTCATTTTGTTATCTCAATTGGATCATTTGATTTTATTATCTCTTTTGGAATACCAAGATTCATTGTCTCAATTTAAACGTCAGAGTTTATTATCTCTTTTAAAACTACATTTTATTGTCTCATATGGGAGTGAGCCAAGTTTTCATGATATAGCCAGTTGTCTATTAACATAGTTTGAAATATCTCGTCGAGAGATCTCGGATCCCGACATTTTATTAGACTTAATGGCTCTGCTGGAGGTTTTGACGGTATATTACGCTATATTCAACAGTAGGCATCAAACACACTTCGTTTACTTTTCTTTTCTTTAATCGTATTTTTCGTAATTGCTCGTGTATATGTATTTTACGTTATTTTTCTTAGGGAACAAACTGAGAAAAGGAAAAAACGTTATGCTTATATCTAGATGTTCATTTATTCTATGTTCGAAAGAAGCAGTGTTCACTATGAATTTAGCCTATATTTTGCCAACTTCGTGAATTAAAATTGAAATAACCAGAGAGTATCCATTTCCACTTTTTATAATAGTCTGAAGTACACAGGTTGTACTACATACTGAAGTACTGTCCGAGAAAGATCTCTTTTAGTTTTTGAGTTATGTGGCTCTCAGTATTGATGATTAACGTTTAAAAAATCATAGTTTCTTCTTGTACATTAACCACCTAAATAAACTCAATTTGACTATCATGACTTTCTGCCTTTCTCTTCGGATCGTGATAGTTAGACGGAGTGTTTGGTATTTACTGGTCATAATTGTCCTGCTCTCGGTATATAACACCCACCAGTAAATATCAAGTAAATTTAATATGAGTAAATTAAAAGCAAAATAATCAGAGAGAGAGAGAGGGAGAGAGTGAAACACACGAAACAAAGTTATTTTCTTAATTTGGCTATACACAGTACGAATATTAATATTTGAAATTTGAATTAGATTTGCAGTTTCCTGCTCGAATGATAAGTGTTTTAACGCCTAGTTGTAAAAACAGTTTTCAATATCAACAAAAACAATTTAGCTGATCGGTATGTCGAGTATAACTTGTGTACTTCAGGCGCAAAAACCACAGTTGAGCACATTCTAGTTAATTTGCATTCTAATTAATTAGTTGTAAAATTGACGTAATTAAGGGTAATTTCATGCTGGGTGCTGTCTTGTTATATGAATAATTCTATGAAAATACAAATTCATTCTTTTCTTACTTTTTTGTCTATATCTATCTATATATGCGTACAGGAGAAAGAAGAAAGAAAATTGACATCAAGCAAGAAAGCGAGAAAAGAAGAAATTTTATATTTTCCAACAAATATTCCCTGCACTTACTATGAAATTACTTTAAATTCTTTCAACTTCACAGACTAAAATAAAAGTAATTAGAATGTACCCCTCTCTGATTTCGATGTCAGTTTGAAGTACCCAAGTTCTATCTGTGCTCGATTGTAGTTTAAAAAAAGATACAGTTTACTTTCTCAGGTAAAATCTCTAGACCGCCTCCAAAGTCACCAGTGAATATGCGAAACAATACTAGGGTAAAAATGCTCCCCGGAGGAACTCCACAGTTGATGATCTCCTCGTCTGACGCTCATTTTGACCCATGTTCGAACGACATCATCTAAATGATAATAGGTGGAACCACCAAACTTATGGTAACAATTGTTTCTCAAGATGCCCAACCTTCCCCAAAATTTTCTCTCATATTAGACTTGTGATTTCTGAGGCACATTTGTGGTCCGTAGTGGGCCTTAAAATCCCTATAATTGTGGGATCGTCGAATGCTGGACTTCTCGAATACGGTAATTCTCAAATGTTTCATCTGAAATTCTTCTATCCATACTTGTATGTGTAGGATGCATGGATATGTGTGTGTCATTATCATGGATGATATTATATCTGTGCACATATATATACACGCCAAGATGTCGTATGCCTAATGTCTGAACTAGGAAAAATAGTTTTCTAGGATATTCTCGTCAAAAAGCTATCCGTCGCCTGGAATAGGAACAGTACGCCACTCCGGCGTCTGTCGACATACATTTAATTTTAATATCATCACTATGGCCACCGGTAATTTTGCGTCATTATGACCGCATATAATTGATACCTTATTTTTTTGCAGTAAATCTAGCTATAGGTTTGGGATTATCCAAATACAAGAAATAAAAAGTTTACCTCTCCGACATGCGGTAGTTTTCTAGTATGTTCTTTATTCTGTATTATCTTCGAAATTATACGGCAGACTGCGCCTTTTCGTATAAAAAATGACTAATAGATGTTTTTTTCCAATAAGTCGTTTATTTTTGTAAAAAGTGGCTTGTCAGTATATGCGTCTTATTGGAAGATTGTCCGATAGTAGAGTGCAAAAAGGTTACAATGTTTTCTTCGATTGATGAACACACAGTTGTATACTGCCAAATACGACGGTCGATAGGCTGTAGTCACAAGATTCCGACTGATCGCTAAGAAATGGAAATTTTGTGGGAAGTATAGAAATGCACATGGTGAAAGACCTGGTATAAGAATGGCGACTTGTGAAAATCATTCAGCTATGAACTAGGGACGACTGCCGATTGCTGCACACAGAGAAACAGACTGTCATTCTGGGAAATAAGTTCTGGCCTGCAGGGTCCAATCTTTTGTTTTGATTTGTCACTATGCATGGAAGAAAAAAGAATGTTATCATTCGCTGCATAAAGCAAACCACTAACTATTCCACTGCACGAAAGAAAAATCGACCTCACTCATTAACTATCTACTTTCCTGTATTCCAATTTATTTATTTGCACAGATGAGTGAATAACAAAACAAAAGAACAAAAAGAAATAACACAAAGTTGTTCGTATTTCAAGCACACGTTTTCTTGTTCATTTTTCTAGAACCATCCTCCACCACCCATATTACCACCGTATCCTTGGCCACCAAATCCTCCTCCTCCCATTCCACCGTAACCACCTTGATTGAAGCCACCTCCATAACCTCCCATTCCTCCACCACCGTAACCTCCGTAGCCTCCCATACCTCCA